GGGAATTTGGGGATTTGGAGATTTGGGAGTTTGGAGGTTTGAGGATTTGGGGATTTGGGGATTTGGGGATTTGGGGTTGGGATTTGGGAATTGGGAATTGGGAATTGGGAATTTTGGGATTTGAGAATTTTGGGATTTGGGAGTTTTGGGATTTGGGAATTTTAGGATTTGGGAATTTTGGGATTTGGAAATTGGGAATTGGGAATTGGGAATTGGGAATTTTGGGATTTGAGAATTTTGGGATTTGGGAGTTTTGGGATTTGGGAATTTTAGGATTTGGGAATTTTGGGATTTGGAAATTGGAAATTGGGAATTGGGAATTGGGAATTTTGGGATTTGAGAATTTTGGGAATTGGCAAATTGGGAATTAAGAAAACTGGAAATTGGAAAAATTGGTAATTGGGAAAATGGGAAAATTATAAAATTGGAAATTGGGAAATTGGGAAATTAGGAAATTGGGAAATTGGGAAAATGAGAAATTGAGAAATTGAAAAATTGAAAAATTGAAAAATTGGAAAATTGGGATTTGAGAATTTGGGGATTTGGGAATTTTGGGATTTGGGAATTGGAAATTTTGGGATTTGAGAATTTGGGGATTTGGGAATTTTGAGATTTGGGAATTGGAAATTTTGGGATTTGGGAATCTGGGAATTTGAGAATTTTGGGATTTGGACATGTACAGATTTGGAGACTTAGGAGTTTGGTAATTTGGGAATTTGAGAATTTGGTAATTTGGGAATTTGAGAATTTGAGAATTTGGGAATTTAGGAATTTAGGAATTTAGGAATTTGAGAATTTGAGAATTTGAGAATTTGGGAATTTAGGGACTTGCAAATTCAGAATTTTGGGAATTTGGAAATTTGGACATTTGTGAATTTCGGGATTTGGGAATTTAATGGGATTTTTAGGGATTTGTGAATTTCGGAATTTGGAAATTTTTTGATATGTTAGTTTATGAATTTAGAAATACAACAATTTACGTTGGGAACTTTGGAATTTAGAGATTTAGAAATTTAGGACTTTAGAAATTATAGGACTTGAGAAATTTGAAAATTTAGAAATTTTGTCATTTCAAAATTTTAAAATTTGAGTATTTGTTAATTTTGTAATTTAGATATTTGAATACTCAAAAATTTTGTAATTTGAATCTTTGAGAATTCGATAATTCAATAATTTGATAATTTTTAAGTCACAAATTTGGAACTTCGACTTCGAATATATTACATTTCCGAAGTTTTAGGATTTAGTAGTTTGAAAATGTTGGGACAGTGAAATTTGGAAACTTTGAATACATGTTCAAATGGAAATTAACTCGTTACAAATTAATATAGAAAAATGTTTAAAGCTTTGTGTTCTGGGTTTTGTAGTATACAAAATGCAGAAATTTTCTTCAGTGATATGGAGAGCTCAGCTGCGATCCGCTTCGTACTCTAAGGGTTAAAACAACCTAGGCAATATACCTAAAGTAGTTATCGCCCTAGGTGGTTCAACTACCTTTCAGAGGTTAGAAAGCATGTGGTGGAACAGGGCGATAAAGGCAGCAAATATTATACGTATCACTTGTGAAGGAGAACTGCCTTTAAAATACTCGAAACCGAGAGCTAAAAAACAAGTACACTTTATTTGAAGAATAAACGTGAATTTTTAAAAAACAAATTTTCGTTTCTTTCAATTTTCAAATTATCGCACTCGAAATAATTCCAAATACTTAAATATATTTTATCAATTATTACTTTCTGTGTCTCCATTTTGTATATAACTATTATTAACCCATTTATTCTCATAAGCATTTATTTGAAAAAAGGAGTAGTGATGCTTGTACAGATATTTAATACAACTTTATTGAGCAAAAAAATCTTTTGTTATAAGAAAAAAAATAATACATCTCTTCATATTACAAACTTTGGTACTGTACTGATATGAGTACATTGGAAACATATGTGTACATTTCATGTTTTATGAAAATCAGTGAATGTGTACTCAAATGAAGGGTAATATTGACACTGAGGCAAAATGGGTTAATAATAGTTATACTGTATAATAAAATAATTATTCGGAAAGTAGTAGTCATCATATATCTTCATCACAAAGTAATAACTTGTGACAGATGTTAAATTTATTATATGACGAATAGAATGCTGAGAATATGGATTAAAATAAACAATATTTTACATTTCTTTATCTATTCATTGATAAAATAAATAAATAATGACCATCGTTTCGGAGATCGATATTAGCTAAAAATTAATAGGTGTAATCTGAATAACCATAGTCCTTTTAAATGCACCAGGTTCAATTACGAATACATTATTAAAGACTAAAGGACTATTAATTGGTTTTCAGTCTATAACATCTGCCATCAAAAAGTCTGTTAATAGACTTCCGGTCGATAAGGTGTTAATGGCTATTGACGTCACTCCTGGGCAATCGAGGGCGTCGGATCGAAGGGCAAGAGTTGTCCAGACCTACATTAACGTCCTCACGATAGAATATCGCCGTACCTTTCTCAACTTTTCTACAAGTTTATCAGTTAACAATATCGGCTATTTCACCCCAATATCGGTTATTATATCACGGTGTCAAATTAAAAGAAAAATCGTTGAAAGATATAATAGATTTACGGTCATCCTGAAATTCTTAAGTAAAATAAAATTTGTCAAAATGAAATGTTTTATTTTTCTACAAAATTTTTATTTATTATTATTAATGTTTTCATTATGTTCATTATCATTAATTATTATGTAATATCAGTCAAAGAATATCAAATAAAAGTCTGCAGTTAAATAAAATAATCAAAGAGTAATTAATAAAATAATCAATCAATGAAACAATCAATAAAATTATCGACAAAATAATCAGTAAACTAGTGAACGAAGTGACGAATTAAATAATTAATTAAATAATCAATAAAATTATTCATAAAATAATCAGTAGAGTAATTAATAAAATAATCAATCAATGAAACAATCAATAAAATTATCGGCAAAATAATCAATAAACTAGTGAATGAAATAATGAATTAAATAATTAATTAAATAATCAATAAGATGATCAATAAAATAATCAGTAGAATAATTAATAAAATAATCAATCAATGAAACAATCAATAAAATTATCGACAAAATAATCAATAAACTAGTGAATGAAATTACTAATTAAATAATTAATTAAATAATCAATAAAATGATCAATAAAATAATCAGTAGAGTAATTAATAAAATAATCAATCAATAAAATTATCGACAAAATAATCAATAGACTAGTGAATGAAATTACGAATTAAATAATTAATTAAATAATCAATGAAATTATCCATAAAATAATCAATAGAGTAATAAATTGTATAATCAATCAAATAATCAATATAATAGTCAATCAATCAAATAATCAATTTGATAGATAATTAAACAAAAAAAAATATCAGTTACTTCTTAGAATTTGATGTAGGTTATACTGAATCACAGTTACGCAAAATGTTGGCAGACGATGAAAATCACCTTTAGGGTTCAAGAAACGCTATATAGTGGCTGGCTATAGTCACCTTTAGTATGCAGTGGGAACTTAAAGCTGGTGATATATAGTCAAGCTGGGTAGCAAAAGGGTTAAAGAGTAGGAAGCGTTTTCTGCTTCTTTCCACTCTTTTTACGTTACGTTTCCAGAGGCGAAGACATTTGACGTTTAGCACGCAGACGTTTGACATTTTTGTCACGTCGTATCATCTGCTGAAAGCTGAACATGGTGACTTTTCTTACTTGAATGTCTTTACACCATGACTGCTACACTTTGAAGAGTAATATAGAAAAACAGCTTGTCAGACTCATTTGAAAAATCACTTTTTATAATCATTCAGTTTCCTTCATTTATTTGCACACTCTTATACTCTTTTAATTTTGCTGTTTCCTTTAAATTACAATACATTTTGTAATTATTCTTGTAGTTCATGATAATGAATTCATAGATTTTGTGCAAAATTGTTTATATTTTCAGCTTGCTTTAACCGTGCGAAATGACCTTGTCTTTTTTTATCACGTTCATAATACCCTGTATATTGCATAGAGTCCATAGAATGAAAGAATATTATATCAAGATTAGAGGAGATAGCCCGTACATAGAGAACTAAATTTACTCCTTTCCGTAAACAGTTATTTCCCCATCAATTTCACAGTTTATGATTTTTTAACAAGTCAATTTATCGTTACCCATCAAACCTGCACCCTCTACCAGCCTACATCGAAACAATAAACAACTGACTCCGCGTTAGCCGAATAAATCATCGTCCATCATGAAAAACGTCCGTTATCTCCATCAACGATCTTTATCGAAGACAGTACGTTTCAATTCAATCCGGAGGCATTAATCAATCTCTAGTTTATCATTGAACGCGACTTCACCATTTTGTGTTGGTTCTATGCCAACCGATGGTCTGAACGATCGTGATGGTCGCGATTATGTGGACGAGGGAGTTGAATCAGCATTGGTATGTGAGTCAAGAAGGTCTTATCTAGATTTAGGGCACGGTTATTTGGTTACTATTTCTCGAAGACTACAATAGATTTCTATATTTTATATTCAAGCTTGGATTTTAGATTAGGACACTAGACAGATGTCTGCAAAGAAGAATAGATTCGGAAAATTTATTTTTGCATCTAGATAATCCTAGAGAGAATTTAAAAGGAATTTCAAAAGAACTTATACGCTTGGTATAGTCGTAAATAATTAATTTGACCAAATTTTCAGCGGCATCTGACTACTGAATAGGATTTAAAGATATAGGGATAATAGGATATATACGGTATAAGAGCATAAGTATTGAAAGGTGTAGAGATATACAAGTATAGTCATAGTTGTAAATAATTAAGTTAATCCTTTCAACGTTGGTCAGATTTGACCACAGGATAGCGTGCAAAATTCTTTGCTAAATAATCAGACATTGTTCGTCGAAACGCCTCGTACAAGATGAATGTATCTATATTATAAAACGCGTTGATATTCTGTTGCAGTTACGAAGCTGAGGGAACACTGGGACGAGATGAACTCGAAAATGATGCAAAGGAAGACGGAGTTGGACGCGATGCTCGGCGACAGCCAGAGATACGAGGCGAAGAGGAACGAGGTGGAGGTATGGCTGGCGCGAATGGAAACCCGGCTGGAGAAAATGCGGGCCGTGGGCCACACAGCCGACGTTCTCGAGGCTCAGCTCCGGGAACAAAAGGTACGCTGCCATTTTTCTCCCTTTCTTCTTCCTGGAACTTTTGCATTAACCCGCGAACCAACCTTGCCACCGGCTCCCCTATTTATTCGTTTCCCACCCGTCAATGCTTGTATTAAGCGGAAAGTAGCGATTCTGGCGCGCTCGTCGAAACTTAACTTCCTCTTCAACCGGATTGAAAATTTGATAAATGATCGTTTGCGGTCTGGTAAATCCCTGTGCTGTGGTCGTACACTTTTTCCGGTATGAATATCACGGTTAGATCCTGCCGATTAGTCGAGAGCAAATTTGAGTTAAGGCGAGAGGAGAATTTACTATTAATTTTAGTTGATTATAGTTGACTTTCAGGGATTCTTCAGCGTAACATGGGGATTGATAATTTGAGAATTTGGGGATGTTGTAATTTTGCGATATGGGAGTATCAGAACGTGAAGACATTGTGAAGACAAATTTCTGTTCAACAAAAATTCTCATAAACGACTAATCATAATATACAGGGTGGGTCACCATTTTGCCGACACAAATCTAGATGGCAAAATGTGGTAAGCCACCCTGTATACAAATGAAGTGTACAGTGTGATTCAATGCTTATTTCTATTCAATAAGCCATAACAAGGAATTACGAGATAAAAATGAAGTAATGTGAACAACCATAGAATGGAAGCAAGTGTTCGAATATTTCCTAAGAGTAAATTATTTTCCATCACAATTGGCTTAACCTAGACCATGAATGATCTTCCCAATAAATCGTTGTATTCGCCTTGAAATACCAGAACGTAAGTAAAGAAGGTCTGTTCCATTTAAACAGAGATGGTTTTCATATCTCCAAAGCGCCTCCACTTGGACAAAAATTATTATCGTTATATGATAGGCCATTTTGTTCCATCCAATTTTGGTTACACTAATTGATCTCTGGGCCTTATAGATTTGAAAATACTCAACCTGTGTATCTTCATTTAGCTTCTGTTTTCTGCGTGCATTCACCACATTCGAGTCGTAACTTGACTTTTGCTGTTTCACCCTTAAAAACATCCCCATAGTGTACACACGCGTGCAGGTGTTAGGCACTCTAGCGCACGCACTCATTTCCCCGAGTGCTGCTTTCCAGCCGCTTAAAAATGCTCTCTCCACGATATTAAATTTCATCCGCCATCAAGTAGGGACCCCGATAACCTTGTGTAATCTAATTGCACCCGCAGGAAATTACGAAAATGGGTAAATAAATGTTTTCCCGTGTATTCCGGTGCAACGTGGATTTCCTTTTTAGATAAATACGTATGGGGAGGAAACCGCTTGCTTTTAATTTTGGATTAAATACGCGAACTTGAGTATTTGCAAATCACTACACAAATTTTATTACTTTACATTGTGCAAATTTTATTATTCTATTACATTGTGAAATTTGGCAAGTTTACTGGGTTTCGAAATTTCAGGATTTCTGAATTTCTAGATATCAGAGTCTTTAGATCCCTAAAATTCGAAGTTTCAAAATACAGAGTTCCTGAATGTTCCTAAATACTTAGGAAATTTCTATATTTAGCAAATTTCTATATTTACAAATTGCTGGATTTCCAAACTTGAATGTTCTGAAATATCTATATCCCTAAATTCCTAGATTCTCAAACTTCTACATCCCCAAATCTATATATCACCAGATCCCTACATCCCCAAATCTGTATATCACCAAATCTCTGCAACTCCAAAGTCCTACATCTCCAAATCCCCACATCCCCAAATTTCTACATCACTAAATCCTTACATCTCCAAATCTCTGTATTCCCAAATCTCTAAGCCCCGAAATCCCTAAATTCCCAAATTCGAAAGATTTGAATCCTAAAATACTCAAATGTCTTGCCATCCAAACTCCTACAACCCCAAATTCCAATATCTTCAAATTCTTAAGTTTCCAAACTTACATATCTCCAAATTTCTGTGTCCCTAAATTCCTAACCTCGTAAATTCCTAAATCTCCATATTCAAGAACCCCCAAACCTCAAAATCCCCAAATTGTCTACCCATCACAAACCTGTCAAATTCCCAAAATTGTTAGCAACAACGAAATTCGTACTTTTCCTTCTTGATTATCATATTTTCCCCAAGGAATGCAGATTCGTTCTCCACTGTAGAATTCACTCTGTCCCTCTCTGTAATTACAAGAAACTATTAAGATTCTTATTACGTATATTCTCTGCAATAGCAGAAAATTGTTAGCCGCAGAAGATAACTGTTACAAAAAAATATCCTTGACATATTATGTCCACAAGGGTTGCTGGATGTTTATTACAATGTTCGGCGCGATTAAAGGGAAAGAACGGATCGGTATTCATCCAGTAGCTATTAACCTCTTTTTTTAGCGATGTTCCATCGTCGCTTTGTGTACGAGAATAACGCGGGCCTTCGGAGGGAAAATATTGCCGACTAGAGAGGCAGAAGATTGAAAAAAAGAAATTATCAGAGTCTCAATCAACGCTAGATCGTAGCTCGGCGCACTCTCTGTTTACATTCAAAAGAGACGAATGAGATATTCATGGAATAATTTATTTCGACGAGGTCGCTGTATCCACGAGATTCAGCCTTCTCTTGGCAGAGTTTCGCTTCGATTCTCATGGTTACTCAATTGGATGTTGTTTTTCTTCTGCATCGAGTAATGAAGTAATATATTAGGACTGTGATGGGTAATAAAGCGAGATTGCAGTTGGATCAGTGAATTTGCCAAGGTATCTGCAGTGATTAGGATACTTTTGAGTAGTAGACTTTTCAAGATTTTATGTTTGTGTTATGGAATGTGTAATATGGATTCGCTGGTGTGATTAGGGGATTCATGTTGCGTAGATCAAGGTTATTAGTTTGGGTAATATTGTTAGAGCTATACAGGTATAGCTAATTGGGGTATAGGGTTTTGGAAATCTTGAGATTTGTGAATTAGGGAAGTGGAATTTAAGAAATGTGGACATTTAAGAATTTGGAATTTAGGAGTTATGGCAATTGGGACTTCAGAATATGTGGAATTTGGAATTTTGTAATTTAAAAAGATGGGAAATTAGGAATTTTATAATTTGAGAATTTGAGGATTTCGAAATTTGACTTCAAATTTGTAAGATTAAGAAATCCAGGCTTTTGAAAATATCTATATTTTAGAAATTAAAAATTTTTTGCGTTTGACAGTTTGAGAAAGTTTCTTCTCAAATTGGAGCATCCAAAGACCCACCTACTTGTTAAGAACTTCGTTAATAAATTTAGTACAAATTTAATAAACACATTTAGTACAAATTTAATGAACACATTTAGTACAAATTTAGTGAATAAATTCAGTACAAATCGAGTGACGAAATTTAGTACAAATTTAATGAATAAATTTAATTAGTGAACTCGTATTTCGCGTGAAACAGCGTATATTTATCTCATCCGAATTTATCTTAAGATCTGTTTGCCAGTTCGAAGTAACCTTATTTCGTTTACAGCTAGAATATTTTATCGGAATTGTTTCTGATCGACTTTTGTCCTCTTTGTTCACTTGTTGTTCTGTTTGCGCTTGCAGTCATTCCACGCCGAGCTGCACCAGTACAAGCACCAAATTGAGCTGTTCAATCAACTCACGCAGAAATTGATCGCTGTTTACCAGGAGGATGACACAACGCGTGTGAAGAAAATGACTGAGACTATTAATCAGCGATACAACAATCTGAACACCAGGTATGTTAAATTTCAATCATTTTTATTCATGTTCGTATTCCATATCTAACAGGGATGTAGGAATGTAGGAATCCAGCTCTTTGGGATGCAAAAATGTAGAAATGTAGGGATGCAAGTAATAGGAGATTTAGCTAATGGGAATGTAGAAATGTAACAATTTAGGTAGCAGGGATGTAGGAATGGACAGATCTAACAGGGATGTAGAAATTTAGGAATCTACTTCTTAGGTATGTTGAAATGTAGAAATGTAGGGATGCAAGTAATAGAAATTTAGCTTACTTGGAATGTAGAAATGTAAGAATTTAGCTAGCAGGGATAGAGAAATGTAGAGATCTATCGAACAGGGATGTAGGAATTTGATTCTTAGGGATGTAGAAATGTGGGGGTCTAACTCATACGGATGTAGGAATGTAGGAGTCCAGCTGTTAGGGATGTAGAAATGTAGGGATCTAGCTTACAGTGATATAGAAATGTAGAGAAATGTAGGACTCTAGAAATCTAAGAATCTATTTATCCAGATAATAGATATATAAAAATGTAGAGATACAAAAATTTAAGAAAATTTTCATTTGTATGCATAATTATTTGAATCATTCATTAATTTAATTAAAATTTAAAAGTATTCAAACAAATGATACATTATAAAAGCTGTACATTAATATTGTAATTATTATTCAAAGCAATTTCCAATGAATTTAACATAGCAATTACAGTATCGAATGCTTTATACGCATTTGAGTCAGCTTCGTTGATTTGTAAACAGTTTAAATTTTAATGAAATATAGCATGTTCAATTAATACTGTCACTCCGTCTGCATAGTGACTAATTATACAAAGCACTAAATATTCATCGTGTACTTAAAACTCGTTGCCAAAAGTACAAAATTATTGTTTCAGTTTAATCAAACTGTAGTCTAAGTGTTACGTGTTGGAGTATCATTAAATTCTTACGTGACATGTAATTCTTTTATGTCGACCCAGTTAAATTTTATTTTAGTCAGAAAAATTTGCATAAATACATAATACACGCTCATATTAAATTTTAAATATTAGAACAATTGTAATACTTGATTGGGATGCAATTAAGAATAATGTATATTGTAAAATATTTCACCAGATCTTCAATGTGTCACTGTCACATCTAGTTAAGACTATTCTGAGAAGTAATTGTATTTGCTTCGCAGACATTTGAATAAAAATTAAGTAATTGAAATGTGAACATGAATGGTACTGCGCGCTTGTCGTGTGGGAAGACGACCTACATTATCGAAAAATTCCGAAACTTGAAATTGAATTTCCAAATCACAAAATTTACGAGTTCTCCAAGTATTCTAATTTCAAGATTCCCATATACTTAAATTGCGAAGTTTCAATTTCCCAAAAACTAAAAATCGTATTTCCCTATCCAACTTCTCTAACTGGCGATTGTAAAATTTTTTATTATCCTAATGCAAACAATCAACGCACTGTAGTCAAACATACTGACCTAGAGTAAAAGAAGTCACTCGATTAATAATATTAATACTCGAAATAAGAGTAATAATGACAACAACTGCATCACGCAATTCGCACTGCCTCACTCCCGAAACGTTTACCTACTGTCGTTGTCCTAATTACATGACTCGAGCCAATAGTTACCGCCAAAAAATATGTGTGAAGCGTCCATTTTTCTATTATGACAGGCCGTATTCCTTACAAACAATTGGAACAGCCTCCTACGCGTCAACTCTAGGGTTACCTACAGCAGACTTGTTCGAGTGTCAGCTTATGAGACTCGTCCTTTGCTCGTGTTTGGCGATCGTGTGACATCGCGTATGTTCGATCGGTTTCAGTATCATCAATCGAGGAAAGCTGTTGCACTCTGCAATGAACTCCCTCCACAACTTCGACCGGTCCTTGGACAAGTTCTTGGCTTGGTTGAGCGAAGCTGAGTCCTCGATGGAGGGATTGGAAGCGGAAGCTGATCGACTAGGTGGACGACGGGACCAGGGTGCTCTCAGACGACCGCAACATCAGCTTAAGGTGAGTCCCATTTTTATTAATACGATTCGATCTTTCATTTCGTTTATTTAACATGTTCGGTTCCGGAATGGTAAACTTGTTTTTGACGTGTTACAATTTGTCAGTAGCCACAAAATCGTAATTAGTGAGAAGGAATTGTAATGAACACAGTGTACATAATATTAAATTGCTTATATTTGACTCTATAAATTTAAAAAAAATTCTTTTTCGATGTAAATTCCAAGCAGTCTGAATGGAAAGTTCAGTTTGGGTCGTGTACGCTCTACGGAACGTGTTAATGTAGATACGAATATTAATATACGATTAATATATAATTACATGTTTAATGTAATTGGTATATTTATATATTCATCATAATCAATCTTTCATCACATCTGTTTAATACAGATATGAATATTTCATCTATTTTACCTATGGGTATTTTATATATTATCAACCTTTTAATTAGGAATTTACATCATGCAATATAAGTAAAGGTAATGTTACTTGTTATAAGACACTAGTGACAGATTTTTTGAAAATAAATAAAAAACTATATTGTGAGATCATTGGATTTAGCAAGGTTATAATTATTGGGATTATTTAGTAATTATTTATTTACTTAAATTTGAACTAACAAGGGGATAGATGAAAAAATGGGATATTTCGAAAATTATTATCGAAGTTATCGTTGAAACACTTGAAGAGTGTAGTACGCGTCTGTGTGGAAAATGGTGATATATAGGGAAGATATGACATTGCCTGATAATTTTGGCATATTTACAATTTTTCAAATATGGGAGCTTTGAAAAATATAGGATTTTAAGTTGAGAATTTAGGAATTTGAGAAGTTTTTGAAATGTAGAATTTTGCAAATTTTGGGAATTTGGAAATTTGGAGATATAGGATATTTGAAAATTTCAAGTTCTGGGGATATGGAGCTTTAGAGACTTAGAGATTTGGAGATTTAGAGATTTGAAGATTTGGAGATTTGGAGGTTTGGAGGTTTGGAGGTTTGGAGATTTGGAGATTTGGAGATTTGGAGATTTTGAGATTTTGAAATTTGGAGATTTGGAGATTTAGAGATTTGGAGATTTGGAGATTTTGAGGTTTGGAGGTTTGGAGATTTGGAGGTTTGGAGATTTGGAGATTTGGAAATTTGGAGATTTGGAGGTTTGGAGGTTTGGAGGTTTGGAGGTTTGGAGGTTTGGAGGTTTGGAGGTTTGGAGGTTTGGAGGTTTGGAGGTTTGGAGGTTTGGAGGTTTGGAGGTTTGGAGGTTTGGAGGTTTGGAGGTTTGGAGGTTTGGAGGTTTGGAGGTTTGGAGGTTTGGAGGTTTGGAGGTTTGGAGGTTTGGAGATTTGGAGATTTAGAGATTTAGAGATTTAGAGATTTAGAGATTTAGAGATTTAGAGATTTAGAGATTTAGAGATTTCAAAATTCAGAGATTAGGAAATTAAAAAATTTAGAAATCTGGATATTTAGATATTTGGATATCTAGGAATTTAGAACTCTATAAATCTAGAAATCCAGAAGTTTACAAATTTCTAAATTTATAAACAATCCAAAAATTTATGGTCAAGCATTACAACACTACAAAGAACTCTAAACCCTCGCAAGCTCTCTCTATATCACCAATTTTAATAACTGTCCGCTACAACATCGCCTACGGCAATATAACAAGATTATCCCTTATGAAATCCGTCAATCTCACCCATTGCCATAAAAAATACAATAAAACAGGCTCGTAAAAGAAACAGCGATGGCCAACCTTCAGTCTTGATCATATTGGACCCTCTTCGATGAAAGCAGGAAATATAGCGAACGGTACAAAACTTGATAGAGACATAAAAAATATAGGTAGCGAATAATGTTCGTACATAGCCCAACAAACAATATTATGAGCTAATTTCCCAGAGTCGTGGACGGTTACAGAGGACACACGAGAATCGTGGATTAATTTCATCGAAATGGCGCAATAGAGTGCTCCCGGTATACTGCAATATCAATTTGACCCCATCAGTTACACGGAACTGTAAACAAAACTCGCCCGTACGGATTCCAGTTCTGATCATCATCATGAATTCGTTACTGTGAGCCGTTTAATCTGCTCATCATCGAGAGGATTATTTAAATAACCCGGTTCGTTCAGAATCGTCACACAATTATCGATACGCTGAATGGAAATTTTTCCATTATTCTCGCTAATTATCTTTTACCGTGAAAGACGGTTAAATAAAAAGTTGCGCTGCTATAATTGGGTGACTATAAAACCTGTTTAACGATATTAATTCTGATCCAGATCGAAGATAACGAGAATGTAACTTAATTAACGGTAATTCTGTTAATTAAATTCACTTCTGTATCTACTTCTGGTAATGAAGAGGGATGATTTTCACGCTTTTTGAAAACTGTTCACAGAATTTAACATCGTTAAGTTATTCTCTTTTATTCGTTAGAAATTTCTGTTCTAAATCGTAAAATTTGCCGTTTTTTCATAATTTTTTCAAACATTTTGCTTTTGTTTTTAATGAATGATTTCTATTTTGAAGTATGAAGTTTAAGAGTTTTTAATAATATGATTATTTTTTTTTATCGTCATTAAATGATTTTTATTCTGAATCGAGAGGTTAATTACTATTTTTCAAAAATTAAAATAAAAAATGAATTATCTTTATTTACAAAAACTTTAAATAAACAAGATTGCATTTTCATTTTCATGTCTAAAATTTTGTAAATATCCACACAGAAAATACTTATTATTCAAGAAATATTTTGCAAAAGAAAAATTGTAAACATCTTTTCTTTAATAAATAAAAAAGAAAGGGTTTAATAATGATATTTAAGTGAGACTCAAAATTCCTATGGGAAATAATACAGAACAGAAGTTGATGGAACCACCACCGCACAACATCGATACTTGATATCGATGCCTGTAGCTTTTAATGGATATACCGATACGAGAACAGCTTCAACACACTTTTATGGCGATCAATCGAAGCCGTAAAACCTTCTGTACTGAACACGTGACCCATACAGATCTGGTTTCCTGTCGTGACCACGACCGTTATAACATCTCAAGGAATCCTAGGACCTCGTCTCTCTTCAATCGTGTCCATCTTGTTTACGGTAGAAAAATATTGACTGGCAGGGATAGTTTTTACTCGTACGCTAGGGTACAGTATGTTTCATCTGAATAGGGGCGAGTATAGAGGGTCGAGTATTTTAATACTTGGAGATTGGAGAATCAAAATTGTAAATTTTTAATTTGTTTAATTTTTGAAGAATTTAATTTTTCTATTTGGTACTTTGAATTGGTAAATTTTCGAGTATCTGTATTTTTGAGTATACATTTGAAATATCTGTATTTCTAAATCACAGAAACTTTGAATCCTTAAATGAGTAAATTATCAAATTGCTAAATTTATAAATCCTTAAACGAATAAGTTATCAATTTTCTAAATTTACAAATACTTAAATGAGTAAATTATCAAATTGCTAAATTTACAAATCCTTAAACGAATAAGTTATCAATTTGCTAAATTTACAAATACTTAAATGAGTAAATTATCAAATTGCTAAATTCACAAATCATTAAATGCATAAATTATTAAATTGCTAAATTTACAAATTACTAAATCTTTAATTTCTTACATTTTCAAATCTCTCAAGTTGCAAAACTCTGAAAGCCCAACATTCTCAAATTACCATACTCTCAAATTCCCAAACTCTCAAGTCTCTAAATTCTCAAATTGCTAAATTTCTAGATCTATGAATTTCCAAAGTCCTAAATCTACAAATCCCTAAATTTCCAAAGTCCCCAAATCTCTAAATCCCTAAACACCCAAATCCCCAAGTCCCCAAATTCTCAAATCCCTAAATTTTCAAACCCCTAAATTCCTAAATCTTACAATTCCAAAATCCCTACATTCCCAAATTATCAAACTCCTGAGTCCCCAAATCCCTGAATAATCAAATTCTCAAATTCTCAAATTCCTAAATTCCCAAGTTACCAAACTCCTAAGTCTCCAAATCCGTCATTTCCAAATCCCAAAATTCCCAAATTCCCAAATTCTTAAATTCTCAGATCCCCAAATCCACAAATCCCCAAATCCCCAAACCCCCAAATTCCTAAATTCCCACACTCCTAACTCACCAAATCCCCTAATTCTGAAATCCTCAAATTCTCAAATTCCCAAATTCCCACACTCCTAAATCACCAAATCCCCAAATTCTCAAATCCTCAAATTCTCAAATTCCCAAATTCCCACACTCCTAAATCATCAAATCCCCAAATTCTCAAATCCTCAAATTCTCAAATCCCCAAATTCTCAAATCCCCAAACTCCCAAATTCCCAAGCTCCCAAATTTCCAAATTCCCAAGTTCCCAAATTCCCAAGCTCCCAAATTTCCAAATTCCCAAGTTCCCAAATTCCCAAGCTCCCAAATTCCCAAATTCCCAAATTCCCAAATTCCCAAATTCCCAAATTCCCAAATTCCCAAATTCCCAAATTCCCAAATTCCCAAATTCCCAAATTCCCAAATTCCCAAATTCCCAAATTCCCAAATTCCCAAATTCCCAAATCACCAAATCTTCAAATTCTCATATTTTCAATTCACCAAATTCCCCAAATTTTAAAAAATACCATAGTTCGCAAATCTCCAAATTTCCAACTCCCCACATCATCAATTATCCATATTTCTATATTTCGATTTCACCTCCGCCCATGAAATACCGCAACGTATTCCTATGTCCGCGTATAGAGTATGCATGCGAGTATGTAATTTTGATGTACCTCATTGGTGATCGAACCGATGACATTGATTATTCGATAAACAGTTAGATACCTGATTGAAATCAACCGCTCGACGAATCTAGGACGAAAGGAAAATTGCGACCACCGTTTCCACGATGTCGAATTACTTGTCCAATAATGTATACCATTGAAAATCAATCCTGTTTGCCATGTATCCTGATTACATTTATGTGCTGCAATGCGTAATAACAAGTACATAATGTCAT